GTTAAGCAAACGAGCCGAACACGAACATACTTTTTGAGCTCGAAATATAAATGATCCGAACACGAGCTGAGTCTGGGCTCGCTCGTGCTCGGCTCGTTTACACCCCTAATACTAACTACACACATAACACTCAAAAATTTAATATCACATGAAAAAATATCATTATTACAACTTTTTAAAAATGAATTACATATTTTCATGGATAGGTTTAAAGCACCAAAGTGTCATATATACAAATTTGTAAGTTTAGGATATTTGAGATAGAAAAATATGTAAGAATTATGTGTTTGGTATGTGAATTTACAATTAAAAATTGGAACTTATATTCATAGCTCACAATTCTTATGTAATTACATATCTGAAACCTAAATTTTCATATTTACACACATAACGCTCAAAACTTTAATATCACGTCAAAAAAAAAATAACTATTACAATTTTATAAAAGTGGAATTTACAATTAAAAATTGGAACTTATATTCATAGCACACAATTCCTATGTAATTACATATCTGAAACCTAAACTTTCATATTTACACACATAACGCTCAAAACTTTAACATCACGTCAAAAAAAAATAACTATTGCAAATTAATAAAAGTGAAATAAAAAATTTAATGCATAGGTGTAATGCTCCAAATTGTCATATATATAAATTTAAAAGTTTTTGAGATAAAAAAATATGTTAGGCATGTGAATTTCCCTTTAAAAGGTGGAATTTACATTCATAATTTGTAACTCATAAATTTTTATATATCTCAAATTTAAACTTCAATATTTTCACACATAGAACTCCAAACTTTAATATCACATTGAAAACATCATTATTACGTGTAAATAAAATGTTTAGGTGTAAGATACATAAATATGTAAAAATTGTGTGAAATACATATTTTCATGCATTGATTTAAAGAGGCAAAGTGTCATATATATGAAAGTTTAGGTGTGGGATATATAATACATAAGAATGGTAGGTATTCAAAGTTCCCTTTAAAAACTAGATTTAAGATATGAAAATATCTAAGAGTTGAGTCATCAACCAGATACATCATCAAAAATCTAGAAAATTGAATAACATTTTCAATTTTGTCCAAAACACTTAAATTCAAAATGGACAAATTCTAACGGTTAGAATTTAAAAAAAAAAAGACTTTAAGAAATAGTGGAATCAAGATTATCTACGATTTGAGTGGAAGAACTCGATTAATGGTTAACTCTAGGGAACTTGGGAATCGAGGGGATATCGGCCGGCTCTGGTGCAA